GGAGGGAAAAGGGGACAGAAGAGAGAGAGGAAAAGGGGACAGAAGAGAGAGAAGGAGAGGAAAAGGGACAGAAGAGAGAGAAGGAGGGAAAAAGGGACAGAAGAGAGAGAGAGGGAGACTGACAATGACAGAGAGACAAAGAAATAGAGACGAGAGGGGCGGGGTACGAGGGCAGAGGTGGCTTCTGTCGGTCCTGCCCGAGTCGAGCCGGACAGCCCGCGGACGCTTATACAACCCTCTTGCCCCCCAGGCTGCTGCACCCTGCTCCTCCTCCTTCTCAGCTGCTGGGGCCGGGGCTGGGCCCGAGGTTGGGGCTGGGGCCGCCAATATAGGCAGGAATCGGCTCCGGCGCTCAGCTCGGCTCGGCTCGGCTCGGCTCCGGCGCTCAGCTCGGCTCGGCTCGGCCCAGCCCCGCGTTGATTCCGCCCACCCTCCGCGCGCGCCTTCTCTGGGTGTCCAGTCCTCGGGAGCGAGTCTACGGGCTGCTGCCGGGGGCGCTGGTCTCCGCTGCGCGGCCGGGAGGACAGCGCTGGACCCTCTCGCCTCCTCTCCTCCCAGCTTCGAGCCCGATTCCGCCGGGATTTCTGGGTGGGGTTTGCTCTGAGCCCTGAGTTTGTGCCAGCGATGTGAGGACTGGCCTCTCCGACGTCGGTCTCTTCTCCCGGTTCAGTAACTGTCCCGGCCTCCTTTGCTGTCCATTCGCATGCCTGACACCTCCTCCCCACCTCTCAATTGAAAGTCTCACTCCCCAAGTCCAGGATTCTTGCGGTGGAGACTCAGATGCTCAAAAGTGAGAAAGCCCTGGATTGGAAATAGGAGAATTATAAGACTGTGGAGGGAGAGCAAGAAGGGGTGCTGGAATCCGTAGAGCCCGAGCCCTGCTGGCTCTGCTTCACAAAGGAGGAAACAAGGCACAGAGAGTGAAGGGACTCAAGGCAAGATTTAAAGCTTGCTTGTGTGGACCACAGATGGACCTGACTTCCAGTCCCCCATTAGCACCTGCGTTGGGTCAGACGAGGCAGTCCTTGCACTTTTCCGGGTCTGTTTCCTGTTCTCTAAAACGAGAGGAGTGGATTTTGCTCTTGTTCATTTTCAGTCCTGTCCGACTCTCTGTGATCCCATTTGGGATTTTCTTGGCAAGATGCTGGAGTGGCCACCTGACATCAAGGAGTTATTCCGGCCCAGACCGGATTTCCTAACTGCTTTTCTCAGTACAATCTATCCCTCCAAACCTAGAGAGAGAAGTCATTTTCCTTAGGCACATTTTCTGATCACTACAATTTAGGAAAATGTCAAGTATCATTCTACTGATCATCAGGGCCTCATTAAGTCATAGCCACTTTAAAAAAATACCTCAGTATAAGGGGAAACTTTAAATAATCAGAACAGTATAGAAGTAAAATGAGATTACCCAGGAATACTGAGGTCCCCTTCATCTCTGGAAATCTCCTCATTCATGCTCAGCGTAGATAATCTCTGGTTGGGGAGAAAAGAAATGTAAGTGGAACATTTAAAGTATTTAAAGATTCGTCACCTAAAATCAATTAAAAAGCAAACAAGCATTTCTTAAATTTGTCTGGGAACTGCGGTAAATACTGGAGAAACAAAGAAAACAGTGAAACTGTCCCTGTCCTCAAGGAGCTTATAGTCTAATGGGGGAGAAAATGAGATGATATGTGCACACTTGATTACATACAGAAGAAGATTATATACAGAAGACAAGACATATAGACCTGGGAGTCTTTTGGATAGAGATAATGACTGAATCCATGGGTTCCCATGAGTTTCCCAAGAGAAAGGGTAAAGAGAGAAAAGAAGACCCAGGGTAAATACTTGGAGGAAATCTACAATTAGTGGGAGTGAAACAAGTGAGCGAAGGAGGTGAAGAAGAAGCAGTTGGTCCAGTAGAAGGGCAGCCCAAGGAGAGCAATATTACAAAAGGCCAAAGAAGGGAGAGTACCGAGGAAAGGGTGGTCTGAAGCATCAAATGCAGCGGAGAAGTCAAGGAAGATGCAAAAAGGCAATTGGTTTGGCAGGTGGGGGGTGGCTGTTCTCTTTGGAAGGAGCAATTTCAGAAGACTGATGCGTTTGGAAGTCATTTCAGGAGATTAAGAAGAGTGAGAAAGGAGGAAGTAGACACCTTTTGGTTCCTCACATGGAGTTCGGTTAAAGGGAATTAGGAAGAGCAAGAGTGGGAGACTTTAGTGAGGAATTTTTGAGGATGGGGAATACTTTGGCATGTTTTAAGGCATGGGAAGGAACCATTAGATAGATAGTACAAGAGTGAAAATTAGAAATGGGGGGAGATGTGTGTATGTGATGGGACAATCCATTGAATGAGTAAGGGGATGGAGTCAATGATGCTGAAGGATTACATTTATTCTCTTCATTCCCTATGAGCAAAGGCAGAAGTCACAAAAAGGCAAATTTAAAATTAATTCTGGTGGGGGGAAGGAGAAAGTTTGCGAACAATTAGAGCTGTTCACAAGTATCTCTGGAAGACGGTGGCTTTCCCATTTCTGGAGGACTTCAAGCAAAAGCTGAATGACCATTTATCATAGAGAATTTCTTCATGCACAGGTTGGATGAGATGGCTTGGGAAGCAGCCTCCAAATCCGAGTTTCCAAGTCTCTCTGTGTTTTCTTTTCTTTTCTTTTTAATAATTTATTTATTTATTTTTAGTTTTCAACATTCACTTCCATAAAATTTTGAGTTTTAAATTTTCTTCCCCACCCCCCTCCATCCCCAAGATGGCATACAATCTGATATAGGCTCTACTTATACATTCATATTAAACATATTTTCACATTAGTCATGATGTAAAGAACATTATAATTAATTAATTAGAATTAACTAATTAATTAGAGGAACCAAGAGAAAGAAGAAACAAAACAACAAAAGAAAAGGAGAGCAAATAGTATGCTTGCATCTGCATTCAGACTCCATTTTTTTTTAATTTTTTTTATGAACAGCATGTTCTATTATGAGTCTTTTGGACTTGTCTTAAATCCTTGCATTGCTGAGAAGAGCTAAGTCTATCAAAGTCAGTCATGTGGCTGTTACTGCGTACAATATTCTCCTGGTTCAGTTCATTTCACTCAGCATCAGTTCGTATAAGTCTTTCCAGATTTTTCTAAAGTCTACCTGCTCATCATATCTTATAACACAATAGTATTACATCATGTTAATATACCACAACTGATGGACATCCCCCCTCATTCTCTAATTATCTGTCACCACAGAAAGAGCTACTATAAATACTTTTGTAAATGCGGGGCCTTTTTCCATTTTTATGATATCTTTGGGATACAGTCCTAGAAGTGCTATTGCTGGGTCAAAGGGTATGCACATTTTTATAGCCCTTTGGGCACAGTTCCAAATTGTCCTCCACAATGGTTGGATCAGTTCACAACTCTGCCAATAATGCATTAGTGTTCCGATTTTCCCACATCCTCTCCAACGTTTATCATTTTCCTCTTTTGTTGTGTTAGCCAATCTGATAGGTGTGATGTGGTATCTCAGAGTTGTTTTGATTTGCATTTCTCTAATCAATAATGATTTATAGCATTTTTTTCATATGACTATAGACAGCTTTAATTTCTTCCTCTGAAAACTGCCTGTTCATATCCTTTGACTATTTATCAATTGAGGAATGACTTGTATTCTTTTGAATTTGGCTCAGTTCTCCATATATTTTAGAAATGAAGCCTTTATCAGAGACAATGTCCATAAAAAAAAAAAAAATGTTTCCCAGTTTTCTGCTTCCCTTCTAATCTTGGTTGCATTGGCTTTGTTTGTGCAAAAACTTTTCAATTTAATGCAATCAAAATCATCCATTTTGCATTTCGTCATGTTCTCTATCTCTTGTTTTGTCATAAATTCATCCCTTCTCCATAGATCTGACAGGTCAACTATTCCTTGCTCTCCTAGTTTGATTCTAGTATCATCTTTCATATCTAAATCCTGTATCCATTTTGACTTTATCTTAGTATAGGGTGTAAGATGTTGGTCTATGCCTAGTTTCTGCCACAGTATTTTCCAGTTTTCCCAGCAGTTTTTTTGTTAATTAAATTTGTTAAATGTTAAACTCACTATTTAACAAAGCTGGAGCCTTTGGATTTATCAAATCGTAGATTAGTATAATCATTGACTGTTGTGTCTTGCATACCTAACCTATTCCACTGCTCCTCTACTCTGTTTCTTAATCAGAATCAAGTAGTTTTGATGATTGCTGCTTTATAATGCAATTGAAGACCTGTCACAGCTAGGCCACCTTCCCTTACATTTCTTTTCATTAATTCCCTTGATATTCTGGACCTTTTGTTCTTCCAGATGAATTTTGTCTTTGTTTTTTCTAACTTTATAAAGTAATTTTTGGTAGTTTGATTGATTAGGCACTGCATAAGTAATTCAATCTACATACTCTGTGTGTTTTCTTATTTCAATAAGCTGTCCTTAATGGAGGCAGAGATAAAGAGCTAGTTTGGGAGTCATCAGAGTAGAGATGATTGTGAAAGTTGTAGGAGTAGATATGAAAGGACAGCAGAGGGAAAGTCAGCCCAGTATAATAATCATACTAATAATAGCTGACATTTATGGAACCAA